AAGGGATCATTTAGCCACTATATATTCTGGTACAGATAATTTTATCCGTGCGTATGAGGTGTGCAAGGAGTACTTCCGGTTGGAGCAGGGAACTCTAGCCTTGCGGATTATTACTCTCATGTTCTGGGAGTCTGTGAGGAGATGCAGACTTACCATCCATTTACTATTGATGCAACAGTTTGGCAGAAGCAACATGAGAACCTGAATGTTGTTAGGTTTTTGGTAGGATTGAAACCTGAATATGAGGTTATTCGTTCTCATATTTTGGGTAGTTCTAGTCTTTTATCACTGCTTGAGGTTTTCTCTCGTTTACAGCGTGCTACATTGTCTACTCCTTCAAGCATTGATCATAGTGTCTCCACTGATCGCTTAGCTCTTGTGGTTCCTAGTAGCCATAGTGATGGTCATCGAGGTGGTCGAGGAGATCGTACAGGAGGTCGTACGGGTGGTCATGGGGGTCGTAGTGGATCCCGTTCCTGTACTCACTGTGGTCGTGGAGGACACACTGTTGACTTCTGTTGGGATTTACATGAAAAATCTTCTGGTTCTGCTAATCAGGCTTCTTATTGCTTTCATACCTCAGTCAGCTCCACCAGACACTGGGTCAGTTACTATTACATTGGGTCCTATCCCAACAACAGGCTGTTCCATCTCCCTCCACTGTTACTTTTGCCCAGTCAGGTACTGCTTTCACTTGTTTATTGTCCTCCACCCACAGTCACTGGATTATAGACTCTGACGCTTTTGATTACATGACTGGTGCGTCTAATGTTTTTTCTACTTATCAGTCTATTACTTCCACACATAATGTTACTCTTGCTAATGGTACTTGGTCTAAAGTTTCAGGTCTGGGGACTACTCACTTGAGTCTTGGTATGTCCCTATCATCCGTGTTATTTATTCCTCAGTTTCCTTTTAGTTTACTTTCCATTAGTAAGGTTACCCGTTCTCTCAATTGTTCTGTAACTTTTTATCCCTCTTATTGTGTCTTTCAAAATCTCAAGATGAAGAGAAAGATTGGTGCAGGGCATAAAGCCGATGGCCTATATTACTTTAATTTTGATTCACCTACTTAGGCTCTACAAACCTCGTTGTCTCCTTTTCAATGACATTGTCGCCTTGGTCATCCCTCTCTCCAGAATCTGCAGCGCCAAGATTTCAGTTTTAGTTGTGTGTCGTCTTTGTCTTGTGAAGCTTGTCAACTTAGTAAGTATTACCGTGTGTCATTTCAGTCTAGAGTCAATAATCGTGTGTCTAGTCCATTTGAGTTGGTACATTCTGATGTATGGGGGCCAATAAAGAATATTTTATCTAATAAATATATTTATTTTGTGTCTTTTGTGAATGACTATTCTCATGTGATTTGGTTGTTTTTGATAAAAGCTCAATCTGAATTATTCTCTATATTTGAGACCTTTCATAAGAAAATAAAAACTCAGTATGGTTATCGTATATGTATTTTACGTCTGATAATATTCAAAAATATGAATCTGATCATTTTTCAGTTTACTTTAGTAAAATTGACATTATTTATCAGACTTCTTGTGCTTACACATCTCCACAGAACGATGTTGCTGAACGCAAAAACCGTCATTTGTTGGAAGTCACCCGTGCCCTGTTATTCCAGATGAATATTCTTCGATACTTTTGGAGTGATGCTATTCTTACTGTTTGTCACCTTATTAATCGTATGCCATCCTCTGTGTTAAATGGGCAAAGTCCATATTCTGTCCTTTTTCCTAGTAAGCCCTTATTTTTCCTAACTCGTAAGATTTTTGGATGTGTCTGTTATGTTCACATTTTGGGTCTTGAGTTTGATAAATTTGATCCTCAAGCTACCAAATGTGTATTTCTTGGTTATTCCTGTACACAGAAGGGGTATCGTTGCTACAATACTTCTCTACGACGATATTTTACCAGTACTGATATCACATTTGAGGAATTTGTTCCATATTTTTCAGCACGTTCTTAGTCTTTGGATCTGGACTTTGGGTCATCTCTTGTACCACCATCTCTTTCCTCATCTTCAGATATTCCGCTACCCACTATATTACCGTCTACTTTACCTCTTCATGTATACTCTCCTCGTCCTCGACCATTGACTGAGGTGTCCGTTTTGTCTTCCTTGTCACCTTTTGATCCTGGTTCGTCAGGTAATTTAGACTATTTACCTATTGCTCTTCGAAAAGGTACTCGTTCGTGTGTTACTAATCATCCTATTGCTCATTTTATTTCATATGATGCCTTATCTCCTGTCTTCTCTTGTTTTTCCTTCAATTATCTATTATATCCATTCCTAAGCATTTACAGGATATATTATTTGATCCGAGTTGGAGGAAAGTCATAGAGGATGAGATAGATGCCTTACATCATAATGGGACTTAGGATCTTGTTCCTTTATCCCCTGGTAAATGAATTGTTGGTTGTCGTTGGGTATATACTGTTAAATTTCATCCGGATGGTTCTGTGGAGCGTCTCAAAGCCCGGCTTGTTGCAAAGGGCTTTACTCAAACTTATTGTGTTGATTATGAGGAGATTTTCTCTCTTGTTGTCAAAATTTCTTCTGTTCGTATCTTGATTTCTTTGGCTGCTTATCTTGATTGGTCCTTATTTCAGTTAGATGTCAATAATGCCTTCCTGCATGGTGACTTGGTTGAAGAGGTATACATAGAGCAGTTACTTGGGTTTACTATTCAGGGCGAGTATGGTAAGTGTGTATGTCGGTTAAAGAAATTTTTATATGGTTTGAAGTAGTCACCGAGGGCATGGTTTGGTAAGTTTTCAGGTGCAGTTTTAGAGTTTGATCTTCTTCGATGTCAGACAGACCATTCTGTGTTCCATAGACAGACGGATGCTGGATATGTTCTATTAGTGGTCTATGCAGATGATATTATGATTACTGGAAATGATTCTGAGGGGATTACCAAGTTAAAAATCTTCTTGTAAGATCGATTTTATACTAAGAATTTAAAAAAACTCAGGTATTTTTTAGGAATTGAAGTGGCTTAATCTAAAATGGGTATTTGTTTATCATAGAGGAAATATGTATTTGACATGCTAAAGGAAACAGGTTTGTTAGGGGGCAGACCGATTAATGTTCCTATGGATCCGAATCAGACGCTATTGATAGATGATGGTGCACTGTTTGAAAATCCGGATCGGTATCGCAGATTGGTTGGGAAGCTTAATTATCTCACTATTATTCGACCAAATATTTCCTATACAGTCAGTATAGTAAGTCAGTTCATGGGGTGTCCTAGAGTACCACATTGGGAGGCAGTTAATCGTATTTTACGATATCTTAAACGAGCTTTTGAACTTGGAGTGTTATATCGAGTTAATGGATATCTTAGAGTGGAAGGTTTCTTAGATGTTGATTGGGCTGGCTCACCTTTTGATCGGAAATCAACCACTGGTTATTGTACTTTTTTAGGAGATAACGTTGTCTCATGGAAAAGTAAGAAACAATCCATGGTAGCAAGATCTAGTGCTGAGGCTGAGTATAGGGCAATGACGCATACGACGAGTGAGTTGACTTGGTTGCTACACTTTGTCCAGGAAATTGGGTTTTTAGTTCAATCTCCTTTACAGTTGTTCTGTGACAACTAGACAGCTATCCATATCGCTGTCAATTCGGTGTTTTACGAGAGAACCAAACATATTAAGGTTGATTGTCACTTTATTCGGGACAAGATAGTAGTTGGGGAGATTACGAGTCCATTTGTGAAATCTGAAGATCAGCTTGCAAATATGTTTACCAAAGCATTGAGTCGTACACGTCTTACAAAGATTTGTTCCAAGCTTGGATTATATGATATATGTAGTCCAGCTTGAGGGAGAGTGTTAAGAGTATTAGGGTAGTATATGTAAATTATTAATAGTTTCAGGGTATTATGTGTAAATACAAGAGGGTGTGTATGTGTAATTCTTATAATTATGAGTTACCTATAAATACAAGTGATGTATGAGGGTTAGGTTAAATTTTAACCTCTATTTGTTTTCTCTCTAATATTGTGTTAATCCTTTACAATTAACATATTCCATGCTCTCAAAGATCTTATTTTGCTCCTGTATCTTTGATCGGCCATCTATGGCTTTTCTATTCCTTAATACGACTTGTTGGGGTATTGATTTTGGACCAAGCTTTTTAGCCTCAGTTTTGAACTGCCATTGATGAAGGAACCTTGGGGACTGAGGCCTTCCCTAGTTCTATTTCTTCAGTATGATTGATGTCTTTCTGTGCTGATTTTAAGCTTTCATGACAAATAAAATACCGTTCAAATGTTTGGAATAAGTTACAAAGCTCTAAGAGGTTTTTTTGTTATGTTCGTTATGACCTACCATCTAATGTTGGTATTATTGGTATTGTTAAGAGAGATTGAATGCCACATCGAATAATTAGGACCACTAAGATTGGTTTATACACTTGGGGGGCCACTCTACCCATTACCAATTAGTTTTGGGTTAGATGCACTGACATAGTATTAGAGCTGGGCCTTGGGTGGTTAGTGGACTACGTCTCTTACTCATTTGAATTTCTTAGTATGAATGGTTGTTTGTTTGTTTGTTGATCCCATGTGGGAGTCTGGGTCCCACGTGAGGTTGGGTGTTAAGAGAGATTGAATACCACATTAAATAATTAGGATCACCAAGATTAGTTTATATACTTGAGGGATCACTCCACTCATTACCAATTGGTTTTGAGTTGGATGCTGTTATCCTCCTCATTGCTTAGAATATCTTTTTATATCTTTTGTTTGACGAAGGTGCAGAATTTAAGAAACAAAATCAAATAAAACTTTGATTTGGTTTCCAGGGCAGTGATCTTTCCCCAACTTTTTGGTGTTCTTTTCATCTGCTTCAGTTGGATGGTTTTAATTGGATTTGATTTTACCGAAGATAGCATTTCTCTATTTATAAGATCTGTAGTTGGGTTCCATGTAATAATTCTTTGTTATTTTTGTCACTCAGTAGTATTTATCTCACATAGATTTGTCAGGATGGATTCATTTATTCCAGTTACCTGTATGATGATTTTGCAGGTTAATTTGGCAAGGGAAACCCTGAAAGGGCTGTTGGCTCATTGGTTAACCAAAAGAAAACTGAGGTTTGGATCCCAAGCTGCAGGCAATGGAGGAGTTCCATCTGGGAAGGATGTCTCTTCTAGGAGTTGTACCCTTTCAAGAGTCGACGTTGATGGTAATGCTGAAAATGATTCTGTGGTGTATCCTCCATTTGAATTTGCAGCGGCTTCCTCTCCTTCTATTGTTACTGAAGGCTCTCAAGGTGGTCCATGGAGAAAGAAAATTACTGAACTAGATGGAACTGAAGATGAGAAGGACTTTCCCTGGTGGGTTTTGGACTGTGTGCTGAATAACCGTCTCCCTACCAGGGAACATACCAAGTATGTTTCTTACATAATTACATGTTCTGGAAAATAATTGTCCTTTGATGCATGATAAAATTATCATATGAATTGAAATTATCTGTTGTCTGATGTGCTTGAAAGATAACTTCTGCAGGCCACTGAATGTGTTGAAAAACTGTTAATACTGTTAGATATGATCAAAGAAACAAGAAAGAGAAAAGAAAAGAAAAGAAGAGAGAATCTTATTAAGGCACACTGAGTCTATGCAATTTAACCTAAAATACACAATGTAAGCCCTTATATAGAAGGATAACACAGGATAAAATAAATGTCTAGACTATCCTTATTATTGATACTCTATAGTAGGATTTGGTAGAGGAGTACCATTAGAGGAAGAATACAGAACATTGAGCTCTAGGGGTGTCTCACCAGTCCGACAAATCTAACTTTTAGGAAAAGAAGCAACCTCAATTCCTAAGAAATGTGGAAGCAGTCCCAAATCTTTCATCTCAAAGTGAGCTTGTAATTGAGTTTTTAATTGGTTGATGTCAATAATATCATCACGTATAATGACCATATTATCAACATAAAGTAGGAGAATAATAGAACTAGAATCAGTGGATCGTTAAAAGTGAGCAGGGTCATGATCGTTAGCATGGAAACCCAAGTCACAAATGACTGATGAGAACTTTGCAAACCATTCCCTGTGAGCCTGTTTATGTCTATATAATGCCCAATGAAGTTTACATACTTAATTAGGACTATGAGATAATCCAGGTAGAGCAATCATAAAGATCTATTCAAATAAGTCTCCATGAAGAAAAATATTTTTCACATCAATTGAGACAAGTGTCATTGACAAATGGCAGCTACAACACTCACAGTACGGACAAAATGGTTATCTTGGCAACAGGAGCAAAAGTTTCATCGTAGTCGAGCCCATACTCAGCAAATCTCTTGACTACTAATCAAGTCTTGTATTGTTCCACAGTGCCATTTGATTTGATTTTGATCTTATAAACCCACTTACAACTAATGGTGCGTTTACTAGAAGGTAAAGGAGCTAATTTCCAAGCTCGGGTCTTATGTAAGGCAGATAGTTCCTTTGCCATAGTCTCTTGCTAAAGGGGATCAACGATAGCCTCCTTATAGGAGGTGGGCTCAGACAAAGAATGAATAAAAGTGAGAAAGGCACAAAAAGTACAAGAATAACAAGAGTTGGAGGAATCAAACCTATCTAAACATTTGCAAGAGCGCTGAGGATAGCGAGAAGTATGATTCACAATTTCAGAATCTGATTGAGTGACAAAAGTAGAAGAAAGAGACACTTCATTCATAGAAGAGACACCAAGAGTCCTATGAACATAAGTATGCATAATAGGGAGATGCGTAACAGACAAATCAAAAGGGAAAGAAGTAGAGGATGGCAAATCGGACGCAATTGTATCACTAACATATGTATCATTGGGAACTTCAGTAGGGAAAGGATCAATATAAATGAGATCAAATTTAGGCATAGACGAAGAACAAGAGGGAATTGAAAAGAAAGGAATATGTTCCATAAGGACAACATAACGAGAGATGTAAAGTTTGTGACTAATAGGATCATAACAACAATACATTTTTTCTCCTCACCATAACCAAGAAATACACATAAGACTGATCTAGTAAAAAGCTGGGTAAGTAGAATACCCGTGAGCATGATAAAGCAAGTACAACAAAAAATATGTAAGGAGAAGTAATCAGGAGGTTTACCATACAACTTTTCAAATGAAGGAACCCCAAAAGTAAGAATAGTAGGAATGTAATTAATTAAATGAATTGCGGTGAGAATTGTTTCCCCCCAAAAGGAGCTAGAGACATTTGCTGACAATAATAGAGAGCGAATAGTCTCGATAATGTGTCAGTGTCTACGCCCAGAAACTCCATTCTGTTTGGGTGTATTAGTACAAGAGGATTGATAAATAGAATCATTATATTTCAACAAAGGTGAAATAATATTCACCTCTTTGATCACAACGGAAGCATTTAATGACAGGAATATTGAGTACGTACCATAACTCGAAAAGTTGTGAATATACAAAAGAACTCAGAACGTTGTTTTGTCAATATACCCAACAATAGTTGGTATAATCATCAATAAAAGAAACATAATATCTGAATCCTCCTTGTGTAGGAACAGGAGTAGGTCCCCATATATCAGAGTGAATAAGATCAAATGGTACAAGGAAGCTAGTAATACTTTTATAAAAAGTTATAGTAAATAAGCTAACTTGCAGCCATTATAATTAGAAAGTCATGATATTCTAAGTTACTCAAACTACCAGTACATGATAAGAATTTCAAAAGAGAATGAGAAACATGACCAAGACGGGAATGCCACAAATAAAAATTAGAAAGCTGTGAATTCAAATAAAAAGAAAGCAAATCAACATTAGATACGACAATATTTAGAACATCCAACTCGCCTAATACATACGATCCTCCATTTTCTACTGCTTATCGCAATGATCTTTTTAGAATGTAGATCCTACACAACACAATTAGAAGAAGAAAAGTGAACTAAAAATTCAGAGTCAAATAGGTCCACACCTGAAAGATCTGAAAAGTGAATTAAATTTAAGGTATGCTATAGAATATAATAAGCATCTGAAAGTGTTAGTTGCATAGAAATAATAGATCCATACCAGCAAAAGACATTTGAATATCATTGGTTGCAAGCACAGATACAGAGGGAGGAGAAAAGGTAGAGAAAAATAAGGAAGAATCGCTGGTCATGTAATGTGTTACACCTGAGTCAAAGACCCAAACTGTTTGAGATACCAGTAAGACTAAAAGTGAATAAACCTATGAAAGGAGAGACTAAGAGAATATTAGAATGCTGAAGAAGCTTCTCCAATTGATCGTCAATCATAGTAAATTTTAGGCTAGTAGACTGATGAGAGTCAGATTTTTCACTTGTCATAATTTTCGTAAACAAAAATCGAATGACAACAATCAAATCACTTGAATTAAATCCAGAACACAAAACCTAATCCCAGTGCTAGCAACCAACAAAATCCAAAGAAAACAAACCTATTGGAAAGCAATAGCCCAAACTCTAACATAAGCATTCAGCTATCAAAGAGCCAACAAATCAAACCAGTAACCCGTCAAATCCCAGCAGCCACACCAAAGGCAGGAGAAAGATAAATAAATTTCAGAATAAGACTTAGCAAACACTAAATGAAGGCCCAACAAATTAAGGCTCAAATAGCAAATAAAGAACCCAAACAAGAAGAAGGGCCAAACTAGAACAAATGATTCGGCAAAGTAAAGGAGCCTAGCACAATAGCATCACAAAAGCCCAATAAAAGCAAGGCCCAAAAACTCAATACCTATTATTTTCCAGTAAGCCCACAACACAAAACCAGCAAAATACTCATAACAAAGGCTTACAAAAAATTAATCCAAACCCAGCACCTGTTATTGTCTAGTAAGCACACAACAAAAATCCAATAAAACAGCTCACAATAAATCCCAACAGAACCCAAAGCACCAACCAAGAAAAAAAGCGTACAAACTAGCAGCGGCAACGTGAAGTGGATCGTGACACCAACAACCAACACAAGTTGCCATTAACAAATCGGTTTACCTGAAATCAGTAGTAGGCAAGAGAAGAATATTCCAAAACTGCCAAAGAATAGAAGGGCAAAAAACCAGTCCAGTTGAGCCTTAGATGAGCAACGAACCAAACCAATCACCTCTAACCATAGTTTTAAAACCCGGCTCGGCCATAAATCCGGAAAAGGGACTGAGTCAATGGGTCATTGGTTGGACCGGTAATATAATAAAAAAATAAAAAATAAATATTAATGATAATAAATAGGCTAAAAAATTGAACTAATTATAAAACTAATATGGTTAATGTATATTACATCAAACAAAAAATCTAAAATCATCAAACATGTATCCAATGCATTCAATTTTCAATATAACTTGTAAATTTTAAGTAGAGAAAAATACATCTATGACAACAGTGGCTTAGGTTTATTGCAGATTAGGTAACATCAAATCCAATTAGAATTGCTTGTTAGCATGTAGATTAATCTAACACAATTAATCTGCCAACCAGTTTTCAAAATTTAGCAAACATTGTACAAAACATTTCTTAATAATGGATATAAACATTTCTTATTATCTAACCCATTTCTTACTATCTAAAACAATCCAACAGTGGTTTATTTCTCAATGGGTCAGTACAAAACATGTTTTGAAATGTATGTTGGATCTAATTTTAAGCTCAATTCTTGTTTATTTGAATCATGATCTTAAATCTGGAGGGCCACTAAAGTTTCTCAATTTTACTGTTTGTAACTTGAAAGTGTAAGACTTACAAAAAAAAAAACCTTGAAAGTGTAAGTGTGGTGACGGTTATATCAAAATAGGCCAAAAATCTGAAATTGGAAATGTGATAATCAATATTCAAATTGACCCAAAATTTATACACAACAAATGTGAAACATTAGACAAGCAGAGAGAGAGAGGGAGAGAGAGAGAGAGAGAGATGTATGTGTTGGAGTGTTAAGTGGAGGAAATGCGTATACTCAACTAAGTGAGAAGCCAAATCGTCAATGAAGGAGGTGAAGAATTGCAGCAGGTTGCAGTTTCTTCGCTTTTTCTGCCTTTGTATGTTCGTTGTTCCTACCTACCAAGCTACCATGACCACTGATCGCAAGCTTGCAGGGTAGAGAGAGAGAGGTTGGTTGGGCATTCTTCGTCGAGGAACCAAGGGTTCAAGAGAGTTCGGCTGTCTTTGTTTCAGAAGAGGCAAAGCAATTACGGCAAAAATGCCCAAAGTTTGGTTTTTATATCATTTTAAAATACCCGCCTGGTTTGGCATAACCCGTCTGGTTTGAATGGTTTCGTTAAAAACCGGCTGGTTTAGTGGGTCATTAACAGTTTCCATGCTTAACCAATCTAATTAAGTAACCAGCCTGGTTTGGAGTCCGGTTCGCAGGTTCACCGGGTCAACCCGCTGAGCTAGATTTTAAAACACTACCTCTAACAACTTCGAATCGCGCAATAGGTTATCAAACAAGCTTAGTCGACACCCTTAGATCAGATTAGAACCAAAATTTTTGAAGAAAAGTCCTCAGATTTACACATCGAAAAAATTCGACGTATTTTCTCCAAAATATTCGAAAAATCAAAACACCTACCAAATGAGTTCGAAATCAAAATAAGGCGCACCATTGAAAAGCCCATGAAATTATGGTCAAGATGGTGAGCTCCACTGTTGCAAATTGATGACATCATCATCGTCAATGATGATGTCAACCACTGTTTTTTGCCGGAAAATTCTCCACTAACCTCTATAAATTCCCTGCCAACTTCTATGACTTGTTATTTAAATTTAGGGTTCATAACTTGCTCTAAAACCATGTTAGATATGATTAAAGAAACAAGAAAGATAGAGAAAAGAAAAGAAGAGAGTATGGCAACAGATGATAAAGCGAATCCCTAAACTACCCTTATTATTGATACTCTTAACAAATACCTTCTGGAAAAACATTTGTATTGTTGTCAAATAGGTTGTTTGTGCTTTGTGGTTTTATAAAACTTTTAAATTGCTAAGTTTTCACCTTGCGTGGTTATGAACAAATTGTCAACCAGTTATTCATTTATTAACTGCATAAATGCTCAATGCTAGAGGGTTGAATTAATTTTCCTGTTTTTGTAGATCTTATAAAAGGGCTTTTTTCTCATACGAATGTGATTAATGTCTGCAGATGCAGCTTTTATTTACATCCCTGTGAAGGTTCAGCTGTCCAGATCCTTACTCAAGGAAAGTTGAGTGCGCCTCGAATATTGAGAATACATAAAGTAAGGATTTGATTTAAAAGGTTATAGTTTTTCGCTTTGAGCTGTGAGATACATAATTTCTTTCCAAATAATGTATGCACTCTTCCTGAAAGGAGGGGACCACTAAACATTACTAGGTGGGTTTTCCATTGAAAGTTCTACTCTCTAAAGTTGTTTTGCTTTGTAAGGAATTGTTTGTGTCTTTAGTGCAAGTGTGGTATGTCAATAAAGCACAATACAAATGGGAATCAAGAGAAAAAGAGTGGGAACCTTCAATTTAGAGGAAATATCCCCTTGATGGGCCTAGTTTTCCCACTTAAGTTCAGCATTCATCTGGGGGAGCAGTTTTTATTGTAATTTTAAGATATGTTTCATTTATATGAATTAAGAATTTAGAGCATATATCTTCCAGTCTAAAAGGTTGCTGTAATTTGTTATAGGTTGTTAACTATGTTGTTGAAAAGATGGTTCTCGACAAGCCATTGGATAGTACGAATTCTGATGGAACTTTTGCTTCTGGACTGCCTGGAGGCCAGTTACAGCTTTTAGCTGTCGGAGGAGATGATTCTTTCCGCTCTGATTTGCAGCCTTGGCAAAAGCTTAAGCCTTCTATAGAGATCTTGTGCAATAATCAGGCATGTTGACCAGTCTTCCTTGCAGACGTACAAAATGTGAATCAGTGAAATTACTGTCCCTTAGCATCCATTAATGTGCTTTTACTAATCAAAAAACCAAAATAGAAGATGAAAATTTGCAATTCCTATATCAACTATCTGTTTTGACTTACTAGAATCATTTTTTTTTTCATTTTTAGTAATTTTGGAATGTTACTAAGTTGGATACAAATCCAAAAACATTTTCTTTTTATTATCCTTCGTGAGTTTGTCACAGTTTCTTCTCGATACAAGTTCAAAGCACTGGTGAATAGCCTTGTAAATGTAGAAATTGACTTGTTATCTTCCTCCATCAAACGTTTCTTGCAGTTCTGTCAAGTGAAAATTGTTCAGTGGAAATGGTGTTGGCTCAATGAGCTTTCTTTTACTTTCCCAAATGCAAGTTTCTGTTTGAACTTTTTCAATAAAAGGAATCGCCATAATTCTTTTTCCAGGTCTTATCACCTGACATGAGCTTAGCCACTGTCCGCACTTACATATGGAAGAAATCTGAGGACCTTGTCCTCAACTATCAAATGGTGAAGGAAAGGTGACTTCATGACATCTAGGAGGTAGAGTACCCATTTAATTTGGTTTAAGTGTGTGTTTTGTGCTCCTGTATGTTTGCTTTTGTGCATATTTTAAAGCAATTTCATGGCTCTGAAACTTGTTTCCATGGAACAATTTTAAATAGCAGAAATAGGTGAAAAATGTTCAAATAATAAAATTGGTTTTCCTAATTGATGTTTAATCGTAGGCTTCCACTTGTTAGTGTCCAACTGTTACATGAGGACAGTAGTCTTATGTTTGGGCGTCCATGTCTCTGTTGTGCTATATCATTCCACTTTATGATGGTGACACCTGCCATAAACCTTTTTTGCATGCTGACTCCTATTTGTGAGCAAAAACAGAAAGCTTTAGTTGAGCAATGTTTTTTGTTGGTTTTGATGATTGTAGGGTTGAACCAGCCAATGATTATGGATTTTTTGCATGTAAATACCTGGGAGTGACCTTTCTGTTGCTGATTGTCATGATCAGAATTGTTTATTGCTTGTAAATCCGGATAATCATCAGTTGCTGTGTCTAGCAACATTCTCAAATTTGCCAAGAATCCTGGTCTGCCGTTCCCCGGGGGATGATTGGTTATGCCTTTTGAATGTTGTACCACCAAGTACCAACATGAAAGCTTTTTTGTAGACAAAGTAAGCATGGGATGAGCTCACATGTGGCAATGGAAGTGTTAATGGTGATGAGAACTTTCTGGGGCAAGCCATTCCAGTGGATATGATGTTGAAAGTTATGTAGATTTGTATGTGTGGGTATAGCAAAAACCACACTTGTGAAGTGATCAAGATTCTGGCAAAAAAAAAAAGTGATCAAGATTAATTTTTCCGTGGAAATAAAACGAGCTCCATGTGGTATCCTTGTAGTCATTTGGTATGTTTTCCAATTTTTGCCTTTTTTGATAGTTCTCCTGACTTCAATACAATTTATATATATTCCGAGAGGTTCTACTAGCTACTATATAAAGCTAGGCATAATCCATATTTCATGTGTTTGGTTCTGTATACTGCACTTCGAGTGAATGACTTGAAGCCAGCCCATTGCGGGTCTTTCGACTCATCACGGTAGAGTGGATATACGATAAAGTAATGTTTGGAATTCAATATTTGATAGGAGTTGTGAGTACTCATCTTAAATTGAACTAGGTCTCGAGGAAGTAATTGCAAATTTGCAATCCTTTCCTCCCCTCCCCCCCCTCTCTCTCTCTCTCTCTCACACACACACACACACACGTGTGCGCTTATCAGATTGTTCAATCATGCTGTTTGGTTTTACTTGTTGAATATTATCTATACTACTAATAAAAATACCTTAAGTAAAAAATTATTGATTCCCTATTTTACCCTTATAAAGAATTTTAATTACTACATTATACTTATATAGTTAAATATCTAAATTACAATTACGTCTTTATGTATTTAAATCTCTAATTTATTTACCCTCTTAACACTTCTTTTACTTCTCTATTATCTTTGCATAAATATCAATATCTATATAAAAAAATTAATTGACTATGTTACTCTTAAAAAAATATATGCATCATTATAGTTTTTAATAAAACGTTCAAAAATTTCATCAATAAATCATTTTTTTTTTAAATATATAGATAACATTATAATTATATATATGTATTTTCTTTCATTTATATTACTAATAAAGAATGAAACTTTTGTCTTAGTATAAAAATTTTGTGATTCATTATTTTACTCTTATAAAAAATTTTAAATACCACACTATCCTTCAATATTTGAATATTTAAATTGTGATCATATACTTATATGTTTAAATCTCTCAATTACCCCTAATATCTCTTTTAATTTTTTATTTACTATGTATAAATATCAGTATTTATGAAATTTTTTAATTGATTATATTACCTTTAAAACATATATGCATCACTATAACTTTTAATAAAATAATTATTTTTTTATTAATTTTTTTTATTAATTTAATATCACTCATTTTAAATATAAAGATATCATTATCCATACGTATGTGTGTATTTTTTTCGTCCAAAATTTTAACCATTTAATTTTTAAGAAAAAATAATCTTTTACACATTTTTTAAATAGTTTTTATTAAATTAGTATAATTTTTCAGTAAGTTTTTCATATTTCATTAAGAGTTTATATAAAAAAAATTATATTATATTTTTAAGTAAAACTTAAATTTTAGAATTTTAATATTCTTTAAAAATATATATTGTAGAGTAGTATATTATATTTTAAGGTGAATAGTATCAATTTTGTCAATATTATATTATATTCATTGTATCAATTTTGTCAATTTGGTCCTTAAAATATTGAAGTGATTGCATGATATTATTTGACGGAATAACATGTGGTTATTTTTGTCAAAGAGTTTAATGGACCATCTGGTTACGGACCATTTAAATAAGAATTAAATATTTTAGAGACTAAATTGACAAAATTTATATACTGATGACTAAATTGACAAAAAGTGCAACCTTTAGAGAACTAAAGTATTATTAGTCCTATATTTTATCTCAGTTAACCTAACTAATTATAATAAGCATTGATTAGAATATTAAAAATTATATTTATTTTATTCAATGAATTATAAGTTGAAACATAACAAATGAATTTCAAATAAATTATTTTTATTTTTTTTATACTTAAAACAATGAATCGTTGGAAACAAATAATATTTTTAAATTCTATAATATAATACGAGCAATAAAAATATAATTTTGATAAATTTGAAATGATATTTAATGTAGGTACATATATATTTAATACTTTTTATTAATATTTTGTATATAAAAATTATTCACGTGCAACGCATGTGGTGCATTATTAGTATCCTTTAAAGGAAAGTGGGTGATGTTTTGTGATCAATCAATTCTATTTCATACTTGGCCACTTCGTGTCGTGCTCGTGCTCATGGGACTAAAAAGCTAGCTTGTTTTAGTTTTTTGTATTTTTATTTGGGTGACTGAAGTATTACAGTACTGTGAAAGGTGTAAGAGTAAAATTAATTTTTTTAAATTTTTATTGATTTTTTATTTTAATTTGTGAATTTCAGTTACAAATTTTTTGGTCCTATTTAATGTGTATTTTCAAGAATAATAATTTTTGACCTTAAAATTGGTTTTATGGCTATTCAAGGCTCAACAATAAAAACCATTTAAAAAAAAAAAAATCAGCATGTGCAAAACCATCGAAAAGTCATCATATGCCAAACGGCTAGAAAAAAAAAATTGAATAGGGTCATATGTGTGTGTAAATGGCTGTTGAGATAACTTTTGGGGCAATGAAAAATTCATTCGAGAATCTTCCAATAGTTTTTCTTTTCATACTCGACATATTTTTTAATTATCTTCTATTACTTTATTTTTGGGATAACTCGATTCGAATCAGGTTCACTTTAACCTTTCAGTGGACGTGACTATTGAGAAGGTGTTGTTACGAGCGTCTGAGTTAGATGTTGGAGTCACTGGTGTCCGTCAGTACCCTCAAGGCTCGTAAAAATTGCAATGATGGATCAACCATGGGTGAATCGTTGGTACTAAATTTAGATGATTGTAATAATGAAACTTATGAGAAAGAATGTTGACAACTTGAGTAGAGGAGTAATGACGGATATATATAGGACCCCTTTGAGTAGAAGTTGAAGGGACGGATATCCATAATGACTTTGGATTTAATGCTTAAAGGACAAATAAGCGTTGAGACCGTGTCATCGATTGGAATTAGGTAGGTTAGGCCGAAGATTAAGTTTCGAGGACAAAATTTTTTTTTAAGGGGTGGATTGTAAGACCCTATACTATAAATAAATATGAATAATATTATCTAAAAGAGTTGTTATTGAATAATTAAAATGATGGTATCAATTTTAAATCATTGTTGAAAGAATAGCCGTGAAGTTTGAGTTTTGAAAGTATTGACTTTCGGGTCAAATTTAGTTTTGAAAGAGTTTAAGGTTGACAAGGACACCTATGTAAAGATTATAAAATATTTAGATCAAAAATAAAATTACCATTGAATTCGGGTGGTTGAGAAACCTTTCGATAGACATTCGACTTGTGTAGCTATTTGAATGGGTAGAATGGTAATTTTGATCTTTTGGGTATAAATTGACATTGATTTTGAGATAACTCATAAAAACTAAATATTTTTAGGTTAACATAGCAATAAAAACAGATTCGGAGTGTCGAAAAACCTTGAGGTGGTATTTCGGGGCTTAAACTCATTTTTTTAGAAAATTTGAGTTGGAAGGAATTTGACATTATGGCAGTATTTTGGTCATAACATTTTACTCCGATATCCAATTAAGCTGATTCTTTCTTCTTTAGAAGGTAGACTTCAAGAGCTACAAAAGTTCATTTCATAAACATTTTGTGAATCGGCCTCTAAGTAGGTCAAAACTAGGATGGAAGTTTGGGAAGAAATTTGGATTCACCATTCGAATGCAAGTATAATTTTTAAATCCTGCTCAAGGTTTGCCATTTTGATCGGTTTTTGACCTATAAATACCAAAGGGACACATTTTTCTATACATCATTTTCAACCCCAAGGAGTTTAGGAAAGTCTTTTAGAGAAGAGGAGGAGGAAAAGGAATAGATCGGGCTAGATCTTGAGGCTATCAACTCGTAGGAAACCATAGAAAAGACCTTAGGATCAATTTTTTTTCGGAATCAAGGTAGGGTTCTTTCCATTTCCTATTCAATTAGGCTAGGGCTAATATCTATATACTTTTTGATTCATATTTGTATATATATTATAGATCTACAACTATTTTGAATTTCTTTTCAAATATATGATTCATTTTCTTGGAAAAATACATGAATTACATCTGACCATACATTTTTGATTTGAAAACTCTAGATCTTGAGTATTATCAAATTGATAATGTTTCTTGGTGATCTCATGTATGTTTTTATTGAAGTTTTCTCTGTTTTAAGAATTGTGGAACTGTTATTTGTGGTACACGTGATTTTTTATTGAAAAATACACGAATTACATCTCTT